CCAAACGTTCCACCGTTTTCAGGGAAGGTTCAGACTGCTGCTATTCTTCAGAAGCACACATGCTTTTACCAGTTGTTCTGCTCAATTTGTTCCCATACTTTTAGAGACAATAAGTGAAGCATCTGACGGCTCATAATTTTGGTTGCCCCTCCCCCTCCCTCAGCACAAACGCAGAGACAGACGTTACTCCATTTCCCTCATGAGCAAAGCTTCCAGTTGATTTACCCTGCATTAGAAAGCGAGATGGAATTCAGGTGGCAGGAGAGAGGCGGCCTAGGGGATAGGGCAAAGAGCTTGGAATCCTGAGGTTGTGAGTTCGAAGCCCACTCCCACAGACTGCCACTCTGGCTCTCTGAGCAAGACTCTTAACTGCTGATTGCTCCCCAGGTGCCACTGCTCCCCAATGGAATGGGTTAAATGCAGAGGTAAATTTCTCCAATGTGAGATCAATAAAGTTCAATTATTATTATTTTAACCTAATGAATCCAGCCTCTGATTCAGGTCCTCCCCCGTCTGCCATCTGTTGTAATTAAGCTGATAATATAACTAAACCCATACCAAAAAAGTAAAAAAAACTGGACTTTGTTTCCAAGTTTGAAGATATTTCTCTTCCATCCAGGAAGATTTTTCAATTCAAAATGTCAGAAATAGCGTTGAGTTCCAGGTTTTATCCAGCAGCCCAACAAAGCCTGGTTTTAGTTTAGAAAACATGCAAATAGAAACAGACGAACTGGTCCACCCCTTTGGAATGGGGGTCGTTTGGCTTCTTTGTTAGCCTGCAATGCCCCATACCTGTCTATGCCTCTGAAAGGGGGTCGTTTGGCTTCTTTGTTAGCCTGCAATGCCCCATACCTGTCTATGTGTCTGAAAGGGGGTCATTAAAGGGAATTGCTGGCCTGACTGAATAGGAGAGGTCTTCCTTAGATGAAAGCGGGATTCCGCTATCATCGCAACCCCCAACCGAAAGCTTCCTGGATGGGAAGAGAAACTTCTTCAAACTGGAAACAAAGTCCAGTGGAATGTTGTTTTTTTACTTTTTTGGAACGACTATGACCTGAATAACTGAAAATCTTGACCAGCATCTAATCAACTAAACTGATTATTCTAGTTTAGGTTCAGCTGATATATTATATCTGATATTCTTCTCTCCAACAAGCTGGATCAACTTCGGGAAACGTCAGGGCAGTTTTTAAAGTCTAGGATTTTATATTGTTTTATTCAAGTTATTTATTTTTTGTTACAAATGATTAAAAAAAAGTGCATTTTTGTCTTTTTACCATTTTGCTTGATTAAAATAAAGAGGTATGGATATCAGAAAAATACTGGATCCATAAGTAATGATATGATAAATGCTTAAAGATTCGTATCCATCCAGCAGGAAAACCAGCCTGAACATCCAGCCTGGTGCAGGCAGCAATATGGCCACCAGGTGGCAATAGAGGGCAACCTGACAGTGTTCCTACAGCATAAGGAAAGTTAAATTCTAGACTTTTTAAGTCTTTTTAATAGCACTAAAAATAGTGATCCGCGGGAACCCTGCAACAGTGCCTCAGCCTCTCTGCCTCTGATGGTCAGAGAACCAATAACCGTATTCTCCTTGCCTAGCAGATCAGGGACAGACCCAGAAATAAAAGTGGGACCAAAGACCCTCTAAGCCCACAGACAGCCTTCAGCGGGGTAGAGGAGCTTCTACAGTCTTTACTCTGATTCTGAAGAACTGGTTTGGACTCTGAACATGAGATCCTGATCCGACACGTCGCTTCTTCTCGGATGATAAGAACTGAAGGGTTATGAGAGAGGGAGAGACACGCGGTAAAGGACCGCAGGCTCGATTCGAACGCAGGTCGCCCAGATCCAGGACTAAGGCCTCCATGCATGGGTCGTGCGTGATAAGCCAATTCATTACTGAGGCTCATTTGGGTCACGATAGATGAACACCAGAACCAGAATGACACACTTCAGTGAGATGAAAAAGAGAACGTGTTTAGATCGAAGGAAAGTCATTATCTAAAGTAGAGCAGAGGCTGCAACTTAAACTAGTTTTTCTTTTTCTGTCCGATAATCTCATTTGTTGGACTTCTATCGAAGCTGTCTTTATTTAACGAGGCGTTGATCCAAAGCGCTGAACACCGCAGGGCGAGGAACTCACCTGAGCACAGAGAAGACGCGCGCCATCTTCCCAATGGCCCGGATCTTGTTTCTGATCACCTCCTTTCTGGCAGCAGGAGCTCCACCTGAACAAAGTGAGACAAACCGTATGACTGCAGCTTTCCCACTGGACCAAAAACACACATTTACCAACCAGTCAACGGACTCCTCTGACCATCAGGAGTTGTTCCATTTTAAACCATTTAATCTGCATAGCATCACTAAGTCTATCCTGTCTTCCTGCTCCTTCAGATCAAATACACAAAGTCATTTATTATCACTTCTATGAATGTTGCTTTTAAAAAAAGCTAATATTTGAAACTTTGAATGCAATAAAATAACATTTGTACAGAAAATGAGAATATTTCTGATTATCCAGTCGTGTGAGAATTTTGTCAATCGGGATCAGCCTTTCGCAACCACATCCCGATCAGGAATGGAAAGGTCGGGAGAAAAATATACATGTTTGAAATTTAGTCGGCCATTGTGAGGTGTCTGGAAAAATCCTGCTGTTGAAGCAGAGCTAGGAGCCGATTTACCAGAACCTCGAGCACCGCGCAATCAACTGAGTTCTTCTTCTTCCAGGTTGACGAGTCCGACCAGCGGCATCTCTGGAAGCCGAGTATGACGGCGTTTTTAGACGTACAGTGTGAGCCGGTAGATTGCATCAGAGAGTCAGGTCGTACAGTGTGAGAACATGCATCGTGAGCTGTGAACTTTAAAACCCTGTGGTTTGATTGCAGTTCCAGCTGCGTGCAAATATGGCACAGTTTATGCCCGGCTTTAGGGATGTGTAACCTCAGCAGCTAAAGGGGTTTATAGAAATGATTTCTTGGAAGTAGTTCCATTAAAGAAAGAAAAAACAAGTAGTTTTGGGTCAAAGAAACAAACTGACAGCTTCTTTTATCTCACAGAAAAGCATCAAGCCTCAGGTCAGCTCACCACCAGCTTTGATGGACTGTGAGTCTAGCGCCTTTGTTGCCCAGTGTTCCTTGGGTTCCTCTGGGTTCAGAGATGCTGTTTGCTCGCAGGTAACCAGCTAATCAGACCCATCAGATACCCTTTGTTGGGTTCAGAGTGCCGCTGTAGGTACCAGATCTGCTCGGGGCCCTGCGCCTGCCAGTAACGTTACCCTAGACGAGTGGCTAAATGTTCCCACATGACATAAAACATTGCAGTTGCCCAGACAATGAGCAAATGCAGTGTTAGCGTGTCTAATGACTGATGAAGTTTTACCTGATAGATAACAAAACTGAACAGATCTGTTTATTGTGAACAAATTAACTGCAGGACCATGATATAAGGGGGCGGGGCTGGGTAGCGCTGTGGTAGCTAACAGGTTAGCCTGTTTCAGCTCGGTCAGTTAACTTAGTGGCCATCTGCCGCTAAGTTATGTAGCTTATGAGCCTGGTTCTGCTGGAGGTTTCTTCCTGTTCAAAGGGAGTTTTTCCTCTCCACTGT